TCTGTTTACGTTTGAACCTGTCTTTCACAATAGTACCAGGAGATTCAAAAAGATTAGCTTTAGAAGAATTAAGAGAAAGTTCTTCCATCTTATATTTGTAACGGTTCACCTCTTCAGTCCTCATATGACTAATAAGTTCTTAAAGAGTTAAATTCTTCATCTTATGTTTTAATTGATTTCTATAATCATTCCAAGATGGTGGAAATTTTTCATGCAGAACATTAGCCTGAAACATCTCACACATCTTCATGTCTTTGTTCAGAACATCAACAGTCAAATCCTCATATTCGTGAACTTGTTCCATTATTGACTTATTATCAACCATTTGGAATTTAATCCACTAACCGACATTATATTTTTTTCTTTCTAACATCATCAACACAATATTAATTTTCTAAACTATCCCATATTTCTTGGGCAGATTTATAGTTTAAAAATATATCAAATAAAGGGTTGGTCATATGATTTAGCAAATGTCCTCTAACAATTTTTCTATCCTTTTCAAACTTCTTTTTAATAACATCATTAACAATTATAACATTGTTGGAATCAGTATTAGTGATAGAACCATTCATAGAAGGTTATTTAAATAAAACATAATCATCTTCTAATTGTTTAAAGAAAATTAAAAGTTTTAGTGACCATCGTTTAAAATTATTTCCATCAAAGGCTCAAGTTTTAACAAATTATTAAAAGTTTTGTTCAAAGAAATAACCATTATCAATATTGTATATTGGAAATCGTTTTTGAATTGTTAAAAAATATACTAAAATATCGATATTAGAATGGAATTATAAAATAGTAAAAATAACTTATCTCAAACACTGTATCGTGGCAAGCCACTGCCTTGAAAGCAATTTTGGCTTGACTCCGGTGAAAATTGTTGCAGCCAGTCGCTCCCCAAGGTTCAACAGTTACTCTCAAACACGTGCACTCGTGACTGAGAGTTTGGAGGTTGCTCAAAACCAATTGCCCAAAAAATATTCTAAGGATAAGAACAGGGAGGAAAATGTTTTTCTCTTCTTTTTATTTATGTTGGTAGTGTCATTTTCTTTAGCTTTCACAAAGGCACTATTTATGTAGGAAATTTCTATCGGAGCTATTTTAGAGTCAAGAGTTAATTTGATAATGCATTGTGAATGTAAATGGCATTTAAGGACATTACATCACATTCTACAGAAACTCTTGTTTTTGTTTTAGAACGAAAAATTTATTCTCTTTGTAACATATTTAACTTTGTGTTCTTTGCATTACAATAAATGAATAAATGAGAATTAATATCACAATATCATTTTGAGAAGTGGGTCTAACCAATTCTACACTACTACAATCTTTTGGGTATCAACTCGAATCCCTTCTACAGATACAATGTGTCCTAGAATCCCACATATTTAAGCCAAAACTCTCACTTAGTAAATTTGACATACAACTCTCTTTCCTTAAGAGTTTGGAGTATTATTCTAAGATGACTAGCATGATCCTTCTCAAACCTATATTAAATCAATGTCATCAATAAAATACGATGACAAACCTATCAAGATACAACTTAAACACTTTATTCATCAGATCCATGAACGTTGCAAGAGCATTAGTAAATCCAATGTACGTAACAAGAAACTATACCATATCGGGTCCTGAATGATGTCTTCACAGTGTCACTTTCTCCTATTTTCAACTAATGATAGTTAGATTTGAGGTTTATCTTTGAAAAGCAAGTGGGACCCTGAAGTTGGACAAAAAGATCATCAATCCTCGGAAGGGGATACTTATTCTTGATACCAAGGTCGACTATATGCTCCAAATGTTGTTTAGTTGAGAATTCATGTTTTGATAGAATCCCTTAATTCTCGGTATTCTATTCATTCCCTCAATCGCTAAAGATGTACAGTGATTTGTAGCAGGCTTATTGGTGAAACTGTATGACGAAGATATTGTAGAACTTGTCGGTAAATGTATGAATTTTAAACAAGTGAAAGTTGAGTATCAAAACCCACTAGTTTGACTCAAGATATTAGTATTCCTACCAGGAAGTAAGAAAACATGAATATGGACTTTATTATGGGCTTACCTCATACTCGTTGTTAGTTTGACTCGATTTGGGTTATTATGGATCGAATGATGAAATCCACTCATTTTCTTCTTGTAAACACTTCATTTTCAGTTGTGGAGTATGCCAAGTTATTTGTGTGGAGTACCACCCTTGTCCATTATCTCAAATCGTTGTTCTAGTTTTTTAGGACGTTTCATATAGGTCTTGGTACCCAAGTGAAGTTTATCATGACAATGCATCTTCAGACCAAAAGACAAGTCTAGCTTACTAATAAGACTTTGAAAGATGTGTTGAGAGATTGTGTGATTGATTTCAAGGGTAATTGAGATGATCATTTGTCATTGATTGAGTTTGCTTATGATACTATCTATCATTCTAGTATCACAGTGTCTCCTAGGCTCTTTCTGGTAGGAGGTTTAGGTGTCTCAACATTTCGATAGTGCATAAGGCTACGGTGAAGGGTTGTCTTATTGAAGCAGTTCAAAGTCGATAAAAGTCCTATGCCGATGTTAGAAGTAGAGAACTTGAATTTAGTTTTGATGACTACTAATGGAATAAAAATACATTGGTAATAGTTTTCATTTTCTTTATTTTATTGTTATTATATTATATGCCCATAAAGTAAATTTCTACAATTTTATTACACTAGTAGATATGTTAACTCCTACTTTTAGAATTTAAAAGGAAACTTAATTAACTTGAGAACCCCATCGTCTCTATGTAAATGCTGACATTTATTAGCAACGACAAATCAATTTTTCAAAATAACATAGAAAGCAAGATGTGAGAAATGGTCTCAACTATACAACAGAAAGCAATTGAAATTAAATCAAATAGCCGATCTCAATCCTCCAGAAAATGATCTTGAATATATAAAACATTGTGGATTTATAACTAATTTATTCCTCTACACTCGTAGTTCTCTTTTTCGGGTTTGCTACGATCTAGAAAGAATTTGTCACCATCCACAGATGATCAATGACGTATGAAGTAGCAGAACGGCACAACGTCCACTTTAATTACACATGATAATCCTATGTTTCTCTTCGTAATATAAAAGGGGAAAAGCAAATGGGAAAAGGAAATTAGAGAACATAAACAATAGAGTGTAGGCTTTTCGAGACCATTACACAAGTCTACTAATGCAGCTGCACTTTTGCTTCTTCTTTCCTGTATTGCAATGTCAAACAGAGGAACTAGTAGGCTTGAATGTATACAAAAGTGAACAATGAATTGATGCAACTGTGAAGGAAACATTCAATACATAGCTTACCTCTTAGAAAATTTGCATCCATATAATTGATACCTTCTTCTAGTAGGTTAAGTCACACAATAAAATGACCACTTTGCAAACTCAAGAGATACTGATGGAAAGACTCAATAATTGACGCTCACTTCAGTTTTCTCCCTTTTTCATAGTCATGGTTGAGTTTACCTTTAGATCCCATAAATAATAAAGACTTTATTTCTCTTTGTCAATATCTGTTGTACTATGATCTTCCTTGCTTTGAATTTTTTTCTCTTTTACTTACTATGCATTGAATGATATACCGAAAAAAGCAACTGGTACACTATTTGATACAAGCTATCTGTCTCGATTTAATAAGCCTTGCAAACTGCAACATTTTTTTATTAAAATTCAAATATTTTCCACCTAAAGCTTGTGTATTCAGTGTCTCAGAAGCCTTTTCTTTAGATTTTTTTTATCACTTTCTTATAATATAATGTCAAACAGAGGTAATAGTACTTAACAATACTTCCTAAAAGATTTTTGTCTCCTTCTCTTTTTCCATTTTGCAGTTTTATCTATGCATTACAATGTCAAAACATGTCTGTCGTTACCTCATTTAATCTGGTGCTCAAAATAAATAAATAAAATCAAACCGATAAACATTTGTATCTACCTTATACTTTCAATTCAATTTTCCTACGATAACCTTATAATCAGAAAGTAGAAAGAGGGGAGAAACTCGTTGCTTCTCTTAAGAAGCGTTGATTTTACTTGAGACAAAGGTTTATTTAAAACAATGTCTACACTCTAGGGGTAAGGTCTATTGTTACCTAAAGAAGCAATAACATGCTTGTGGCTATATTGTGCCCGTGAGGAATATTTAAAATCTTAATACTACAAAAGTGGTATCATGAGAACAACTCTAATTATTAACTTGTATGGTAAGAAAAATGCCTCTGCTATACTTTTTTTTTTAATTTAGTAATTGTTTTCTCATTTTTATACAATCATAAAATATTACTCGTGATTGTAAAAAAATATGCATAATCACTGTGCATATTATTTTAATTCCGATAATCAAAACCAAATTATTTCTTTTATTCTTAGTAAAGATTTCACATCTTTGTTAGTAAGGATTGAGGATTTAGGCAACATATATGCTATCCTCTATACGTAATTCATGTAACATTCACATAGATATTTGTATATTATATACCCTTTCAAAACAAGCATAACTCTCAAAGAAACAAAGTGAGACACTTCATAAACCATGACATCTCAAATGGGAGATACTAACAAAAAGGATAATGCCAACAATCTACAAGAAATGCAAGCAATTCTAAATGGTCCATTTTTTAACTTAGCTTGAAAGATATACGTAGAACAAGGGGAAGAAGATAAATCCTGTACACAGGTAAACTGACTAACCTAATCATTAAAATATTAGTACCATTAGAAGAGTGTGAAGAATAATTACACTCTCACAAAGCTCTAGAATTTCCACCTATTACTAAACTTGAGCCATAAATTATAAGAACTTTAAAGTGAACTATTAGTCTGAAGTGAAAACAGAAAAGCAACACATAATAATTGCTTGATGGAAGAATAAAAATGCTCAATAAGTGAGATAACATACTTGAGTGCAGTCATATTTCTAAGGGAAATACTTCAATTCTGAAACCAGTTGACGAAATTGTCTGAGAAACATATGGTCGCCGAATGGTAAGGCCAATCATTATTCATCGCCGAATGGAGTGGATTAGGCGGGAGAAAATTGGGGAAGTATAAAAAGAAAATCCCGTATTTCTTTCCTAACTTTTTTTCTTCCTAAGAAATTTTTTTAAGATGGTAGAGGCACAACCAACAATAGTTGTGTGACATTCCATTTAATTTTTGACACTTAAATTTGTAGGCTCACAAATTAAAGTGTAAACACAACAATGGTTGATTGAGCGTCTATCATATTAAAAAACTTCCATTTTAAGTATTAAATCACAACAAAGTGAACCAAAAAGAAAAGCTGAAAATCATTCCTGCCTAAATATTTGGTTGCAATTTTTAATTGAGAAACTTTCTACAATTGAAGTTCATATTTAGCTGAAAAAAAACTATTACTCCTTCCGTTCATATGTATATGTCACCATTTATGTTTCCTGTGTGTTAAGAAACTAACTAAATTTACTATGAGTTTAACTGCTATCCACCGACGGTGGACAAAAAAATTACACGGACATTTTATTTTTGGAAATATTTTTTTTTTATTAATATATTTTAATATTATTAATATTAAAATAAAAATAATAACATAGTGTTATATGGTAACTTGAATTATAAATTAATTGTACAAATTTAATTAGGATTCTTATTTGTCTTACCAAAAATAAAAAATACATAATTTCTTGTGTTTTCTTAGTTGTATTAACGTTCTTCTTTTTCTACATAAACCATTGAAGCAACCAACTATCCACCATTGAAGCAATTTGAAACAATTATCATAGTAGTGTTTTCCTCGTATATCTTTTTTTACATAACTTATTAAGTCTTTTTCGCAACATGAATAAACGTTTCAAAGAAATATTCTTGTTTTAATGTATGAAGAAATTTATGTTTTGTAGTGATGAAGATATTTAAAGAATACCTTTAAGAACTTTTTAGCAAATTGAAGAAGTTCAATACATTAGCCATGAAAAATATTTAAAATTTTAAAGCTAACTTACCCTATCAGTCTAATATCTAATAATTGTGTATTGCAGGAAACTTTTGAAATCTCTAATTTAGAAGAGCAAAATGCAGAAGGAATTGAAGATTCCTTGGAGGATATAGAAAGCAACATGAATGCAGTTGTATCTTTTGTTCCTCAACTAGGTGAGCAAGAATTAAGAGAGCCTTACATCGGTATGGAATTTCAATCACTTGATACTGGATTTAAATTTTATCTTGATTATGCTCATCGTAATGGTTTTAGTGTGCGCAAAAATCGAATTAGTAGATCAAGAAAAGATAAATCCATTATTGGTCAAGAGTTTGTTTGTTCAAAAGAAGGATTTCGTTCAAAAAAATGTCTTGAGAGTAATAAGCAACGAGATGAGACTAGAGAGAGGTGCAAAGTGATGATATATATGTCAAAGAAAGAAGAAGAAAAGTGGGTTATAGCTAGGCTTGTCTTGAATCATAATCATGAACTTGCTTCTCCTAATAGTCAGAAATTCTTGCGATCAAAAAGAAAAAAATCAGAGGCTCAAAAAAATCTTATTGATCTCTTAAATAATTCTGGTATTCGTCCAAGTAAAATCGCATCAGTGTTAACTACTCAGGCGGGAGGCATAGAGAATCTCAATATAACTGGACGAGATATTCAGAATTATTTGAGCACTAAAAGGCAAAATTGTCTTGAGAAAGGAGATGCACAATTGATGTTGAAATACTTTCAAAAGCGACAATCTGATAGCCCAGGATTCTTTTATGCAATACAAATGGATGTGGAGGGTCATTTAGCTAATTGTTTTTGGGTAGATGCTAGGTCTAGGATAGCTTACAAGAATTTTGGAGATGTTGTCCTATTTGATCCTACATACTTGACAAATAAATATAAGATGCCTTTTATTCCATTTACCGGAGTTAATAACCATCACTAATCCATTTTATTTGGATGTTCTCTTCTTTGGGATGAAACGGAAGAAACTTTTCAGTGGTTACTTCATACTTGGCAAGAGGCAATGTTTGGTATTTCCCCTCGTACAATAATCACAGATCAAGATGCTGCAATAACAAATGCAGTTGCAAAGGTGTTCCCGAATAGTGCACACCATTTTTGTATGTGGCACATTGAGAAGAAGATTCCTGAATATCTAAGTCATGTTTTTCATGCATTTGATGATTTTAAAAATAAGTTTAGTAAGTGTTTACATTGTACAACAACTCCTGAGGAATTTGAAATTGCTTGGATCGATATAATGAAAATGTACAATTTAGAAGAGCATATTTGGTTGCGTAAGATATACATCGTTCGCGAGAAATGGATTCCAGCATATGTGCGAACTACTTTTTGTGTCGGAATGTCAACAACTCAAAGAAGTGAAAGTATGAATAAATACTTTAAAGATTATCTTAACTCTAGTACGCCAATGAGTGTATTTGTGACGCAATATGATAAAGCTGTTGACGCTAGGTATGACAAAGTAAGGGAGAAGGATTATAAGACAAAGCATTCAAAGGCTATCTTGAAAACATTATATCCAATGGAGGATGAAGCAGCCAAAATATATACCAGAAAAATATTTCAAAAATTTCAAGAAGAGTTAATTCAATCTCAAAAATTTATTTCAGAAAAAATTGAGGTTCAGGATGGGATACATATTTATAAAGTGCATTTGTTTCAGAGAGAAACACCGATATATATTGTTAGGTTGAATCTTGAATTAAAGAATGCTACTTGTTCTTGTCATAAGTTTGAGTTCATGGGAATTTTGTGTAGACATGTGCTTATGATATTTATAAAGAAACAGATTCACTCGCTTCCACCATGTTATTTATTGGATCGATGGACAAGGTATGCAACTACAGAAAAAGCTAATGACATTTCAAGTGCAGGATCGCTTGCGTATAATCTGAAGTCTTCTACTATATGGTTTAATAACATTATGACACATTCTCTTGGGCTCTCTGAACGAGCTACTCGTTCAGAAAAGCATTATAAATTTACATATCAGAATTTGTTGCAACTAAGTAAAGAACTTGATGAACTTCCATATGAGGATAATGATAATGTTTGTGATGATCAAGTTAACGAGTCAAATAATGATTTGAACTCAAGTGAACAAAGAGAAAAATTTAGTTTGCTTGACCCTCCATGCGTGGCTACTAAAGGACGTCCTCGTTCTTTGAGAATGAAAAGTGGTTTAGAAAGTTCTCAGAAGGTTAAAAGAAGCTCTTCGCTGAAATCAAAAAGAGAAACCAAAATCAGAAAAAAAGGCAAAGGAGTAAGGTAATTTTATAGTTTGATCTTTAATTTAATGTGAATTCATTGAATAAATCACATATTTCAATTATTTGCTTAATTTTCAGTTCACACATTAATGTTGAAAAGGAATTCAATAGCAGGGAAACAATCATTAATGCAGATCCTACAATGGTAAGGTTTTATTTTGATAAATTATGTGAATTTTGACTAAGACTTATTCTTATGTATCATTCTCTTTTTAGCTAACAAATTTTTCTTTTATTTAATCATTTTTTAAGGAATTCTCAGCATATTCAGAACCTTTTGAAGGGCAAAGTGGTCGTGTTGATTCATATCCAACCTCATTTATGGTGGGTTTATTTTACTGCGCTTGTATGTATTTTATTTATAGCATATATGCATTTGTAAACAATTACTGTTTCAGGATTTGATGAGAGCAACTTCGTATCCATATCAAAGAGGTTTCTAATCTACAAGGTGACTTGGAATTTGTGGAATTTAAAACTATAAAGGATGTCTAGAGAGACAATTATTCAAAATTCATTTTGTTCTGTTTTCTTTCTTTGGCAGAATATAAATCCAGGGATATTTTTTGTTCAAGACTTTTTTTTCTTTTAAGTTTACATACAATAACTCAGAGTTTTAGCTTTAGTTTTTTTGGTTGATTGTGTTTTTATTCATAGTGAATTAGTTACTCTTTTATGCCTTCATATATGTTAGCAAGGATACTCCACTCTCTGATACATAGCAGCAGCAATAACAACGTATAGCAACAAAAAAATTTCACCGAAAGAATAAAATTTGTAACCAAGCATGCAATTGTGATTAAATCATGGGCCGTATTTAATAGTGTTTGATTTTGTTTGCTTACTCTTATAAGTTTGAATATGTTGATTTTGTTGCACTTTATGTTTCTGGAATAGTTTCATATTAATATTTTGCTAGCATTGCTTCAATGGCAACAAGTACCGGTTCTTATAAAAAAAAATAATATGTTGGCAATGATTTTCTTTGAAGGATTGAAGTGCTTTCCAATAAGAAAACACAAGAAATTATGTATTTTTTATTTTTGGTAAGACAAATAAGAATCCTAATTAAATTTGTACAATTAATTTATAATTCAAGTTACCATATAACACTCTGTTATTATTTTTATTTTAATATTAATAATATTAAAATATATTAATTAAAAAAATTAAATATTTCCAAAAATAATATGTCCGTGTAATTTTTTGTCCACCGTCGGTGGATAGTAGTTAAACTCATTTACTATTCAACCTTAATTTTATTTTTTTAAATTGCAATCAATGAATATGAATTAGTTTTTTTTTTTTTTGGTAAGTAAAGTTCATTTACCAAGTAAATTTTACAAAACAAAAGAATTTAGCCGGTGTGGACATAAGCTCCACCATTGCTAAACCAACATCTCATTACTACTGCTATATTCTATGAAAAGATATTCAACTTTCGTAATCTACTAGCTATTCTAGGATATCTACTGCCTCTTCCATGGATCTTCTGTATTTTAAGCTTGACGAAGTAGCTTATTATTTTTTGTTGTTGTTTAAATATCATAGCATTACGCTCCAACCATATAAGATAAACTGTATTTGCCATTGTCATTCTGTACGCTAGAGCCCTACAACCTTTCATGTACTGCACTCCCTCCCCAGTTTACTTCAATAGTCCAATTCATTACATTCCTTTTTATTTCTTGCCACTGCAGAATACTTCTCGATATCTCTGCTGCATAATCACACTGGAAAAACATATATTCATGATCTTCATTAACTAACTGACATAGAGGACATGATAAACATTGCATTACTCCTCATAATGCAGTAAAAACATATCTATTTTCTCAATTTATAGAAAATCTAGCCTATCAGGATGCCTCACATCAACTGATGAACCTATTACCCATTAGCTCTGATTCCGTGATAGCAAACCATGATGAATGAGCACCAAAATTCCTTGGGTTTTCAACTCCCTTGCACTGCAATATCTAAGCTCCATTTCACCCATGCCCCAGATGATTTTGGAGGGTTTTAGAGCATCCCTTATGTGTTTTATTCTTTCAAAAGTGAAAAATAATAATTTTAAATAACTAGGTTGTTGAATTCCTTTCATCCCTCTATTGTGGTTGAGAAGGCATTATAGAGGTACGAAAATAGTTGGAAGCCTCCCACTATGGTAGGTTGATGTCTGTCGAATCAACTTCAAAAAGAGCCAAATTCATCATGTGCTCAAATTTAAAAATTCTTTCACTAAATTTACTGAGTGTTTGAAATTTTTCAGGAGATGACCTTGATAACAACGGATTGTGTCATTACAACTACACTGTTATATAGGGCAATACCTCAATGACCCGATAATGTAACCCTACTTTACATAGTTAGATCCTCCAGAACCTAGGTGGATGGATGGTTACCAGTGGCTCACCACAATAGTTTTTTTTTTTCCTAATTCATGAATTTCACCTCCTAAAATTTATTTGTTATATTTCTGGGCTAATCCACGTCAAGAAACTGCAAAGGTAATTACATTTACTATTGAAAAGTTTTTTTTATGTTGCATACTTCACTTAGGGTGAGATTTCACATTCATTCAAGAGAAATTTTTTTAATGAGTTTAAAATATATAGGAATTTATTATTTAAAGTAGGTAAATTACCCACGCTTCGCACGATGGTGAACTACATCAATAATCTACTTCTGAACATTTGATAATATAAGTGTTTTCGAGAAGGTACATCCCTAGGATAACTTGTCATGAATATTTTATCCAAAGAAAGAAATAAAATATTTTTAAACTTAAAACGAAAAAGAATTTATTCTAAGTGATTATGAATTTTTTTATCTCTTCATTTTACTACAGTTGTATATCACCAAACTCTTTAGAAAAGAAATATAATTGTTTCATTCTTTATATTTATATTTTTTTAAAAATGATACCGACATTTTATTCATAAGTTGCGAGAGTTTTTCTCCTATTAAAGGCCTCTACATACAGATTCTAAATATTACACATCTTATAAAATTAATTCTGTACTTGATAAGTTAATAAAAATGTAAAAAACACATTTCTTGGAGTTCAACGAAATAACATATGTCGCTCAAATAATTTGAATTAAATGATGTCTTGGTAAGTCCCTTATTCAAAATCATATGAAGTCGCTGACACTACTTTGATAGACAAAATACATATTTTATTCTATATGTTTCGATCAATATGGATATAACTTTATTTTTTTGGACTTTTAATCTAAAGTTTATAAGGACTTAACTATTTATTTAACATTAGATTAATATAGATTTATCAATTTTGAGGGGTAATTCATTGACTCAAATCCATCATTCGAACCCCAAATGTTTGATTAAGGTTGAGTAAAATACTTACCATCCCACTACGTTAATTTTATTTTTGGAAGTCACTAATCGATTGAATGCCTCCATAAGATGGAAAGTTGAATAAATAAAACTCCAAGATAGTGTGGAACCACTATAGTTTTTGAACACTCAAAGTCCCTTGTTGGACATCCCATGGATCTTTTAGCCACTGAAAACTCTATAAAGAACAAAGTCATTTATTTTACAAGTTTAAGAATTCTAATCTACATGACATCAATAGCCTAATGATTACATAAAACTCTTGAGTAACATATATTTTCTTCAA